AGTTGCTTTGGCTATTTGAGGTCTTTTGTGTTTCCACATGTATTTTAGGATTGATTTTTCTATTTTGTGAACAATGTCATTGGAATTTTGATAGGGATTGCATTGAACATGTAGATTGCTTTTGGTAGTATGGCCATTTTTACTATGGTGAGTCTAACAATCCATGAGCATATGAGATCTTTCCATCTTCCGATGTCTTCTTTGATTTCTCTCTTCAGTGGTTTATAGTTTTCATTGAAAAGGTATTTGGTTTCCTTTGTTAAATTTATTCCAAGGTACTTTATTATTTTTTGTGTGCCTCACTTCTTAATCAAAGAGGAAACCTTTTCTAGATGCTACCAGCAACTCCTCCCACATCCTACTGACCATGACTGAGTCACCTGTCTCTTCTATAAGCAGCCTCTCGCAAGGGAAATGTGATCACTACAGTTGTCTTGGACCAGTGGTTTACAGCAGCAAACCAGAACCACCTCAGGAACTTTCAAAAACACTTTCCTAGACCAATTAAATATGAATTTTTGTGGAAATGTATTTTAAAATATAGGCAGGGTTAAGAATTAGTAGATAAATCAAAGTCGCAAAAGGAAGAGAGTAGGAAATGGCTATTGGGTGGCAACTGACAGTGCTGAGATTACTAATTTTTAATTTCCAAGTAAGATGTAAAAATATTATGCTTTTTAAAAATTGATAAACTATCCAGGTGCCAGGGGCTCAAGGTGTGAAGGTGTGGCTCAAGCAGCAGAGTACCTGCTTTGTGAGTGAGAAGCTGAGTTCAAAACTCAGTCCCATAAAAAAAAAAAAAAAGTGAGGCACAGACAGAAAATTTGTCTGCTGTGGGATACTATCATGCTGAATGTGACATCTGAAGTCTGCCACAGACATTTTGAAGTCATGAGTGGAGGGCGATAAACTTGGCTTAGTACCAAGCCAGTGAAAATGACTGCTGAAACTATGGTATTGGGGAATCTAGTGTGCTCAGAGGGAATGGCTAGAACCTTGGAGAGGGGTGCCTAGAGAATATAGCCAGAGAAGCAAGTCATAGAAATGGTGCTCAGAATGGGCTTGGAGGAAGAGCTTTGACAACGGTAGTCTGAAGAGTGGGGTGGTGGGGTGGTGAAGGAAGGGTTCCAAGCAGAAACAATATGAAGAACTAGGGAGGAGAGCATGTCACAAAAGAAACCATTCAGTAACCAGATGTTGAACTTCTTGTAGAAGAACAGGCAGTTTCAACATTTTCACAGTGTAAATGGGGATGAAGACCAAGAGGAGGCCATTTCTTGAGGTTATTCTGACTATTGACATTTAGTTGCCTGGGTATTAAAAGAATCTTATAGCCTTTGATCTACTTGCTTAAGCTCCAGCAAAGACATCTGGTAACTGTGCATCTCAGGCTTCTAAACATAGTGCTCAGCTATCCTACATTTAGGTCCAGTGTTCCAATTCTCTCTGTTGTGACATATCTTTGTGCCATGTCCCTATCAGATGGTTTTCAGTCCTATTTTCATCAACATTGTTTGTTGTTACAGTGTTTTTTTTTAAATGAGAAATTGGAGATTATGTTTCTGAGGAAAAGAGACAATGCAATGATGCTATTGCTCACAGCTCAAGTATGATACTGCAGGTATGTGCCCTGAGAGGGTGGCAAGCAAACAGTTTTAAGCTCAGCTTGAGTTCTGTTTTCCTCAAAGATCCTACAACTTCTTTCAAAAATTCACTATTTGATTCATATTAAAAATACATACAGAGCTTATTCACTTTTTTTTTTGGTGATGCTGGGATCACATATAGCATTTAAAAAAGTACAAATAGCTGTAAAAAAGTTTCAGAGTACATTTCTTTCCTACCAGACTGGCAAAGATCTATAAAGTTTGCTAAGTACTAGGGTAAGAGTATGGGAAACAGCATTCTGTACACTGGTGATGGTAATTGCTGTGACTTTTTTGGAAGGTGATAAATAATCCTCCGACCCAGCATTCTGGAGAATTCACTGCAGCAATAACTTAAAATGCCCATTGATAGAGACTAGTTAGCTGTGTGCCTCTGGCTCAGCTTGGGAGGCTGAGGTCAGGCGGATTATGGTTCAAGACCAGTCCTGGAAATAGCTCATGCGACTCCATGTCCAAAATAACCAGAGTAAGATGGACTGGAGGAGTAGCTCAAGTGGTAGAGTGCCTGCTTTGCAAGCAAAGCTCTGAGTTCAAAACCCAGGCCCACCAAAAAAAAAAGAGACTGGTTAAATTATTACGACATTATCATAACCATAGAATACCTTACTCATTAGTGGTTATTTATGCATAAAGTAGTTCTAGAAATCAGTAATATTGGTGGCTTGGGCTGGGAGGGACTTTTCATTTTTCTTTTGTACTTATGTAAAGGTTTAATCCATCTTTTTTCAGTGTAATAGCCAGACGTGTCATTCAGTTTGGCATTCAACTGGGCTGGAACTAATGAGTCACATGCCAAACATCTTCTGAATATTCTCATAGAGTATTCACAAATGCTGTGTGCAAGATGACTTGACAGAGAATGCTTCTGGAAGTTTCACAGATAATATTCAAAATTATACCTTCTACAGAAGAAATAATTGGTACTTTCAAGGACATTTTGGCAAAAATTTATGAACAAGCTCAATTGCTTTTTTTTTTGGTATACTGGGGTTTGAACTTATAGCTTCATGCTTGCTAGGCAGGTGCCACTCCACCAGCTCAACTGCTATTCTATTCTATTTTTTTATTTATTGCGGTACTAGGGCTTGAACTCAGGGCCTCCACCTTAAGCCACTCCACCAGCTCTATTTTTGTGATGGGTTTTTTGAGATAGGGTCTCACAAACTATTTGCCTGGGCTGGCTTTGAACCACAGTCCTCCTGAGTAGCTAGGATTACAGGTGTGAGCCGATCGCGCCTGGCTCAATTGCTAGTCCAATGAATGAAAAACTTAAGCTGCTTTGCTCCTTCCTGTTGCTTAGGATGTTTTTTCCATCTTGGGTCTCCATTTTTTAATCATCTATAAAGATTGGAAAACACTTAATATGTTCTATATGTTCATGATTAAACTTAACTATCAATACTTCAAAAAAAAATTAAAACAAAATAGTTTTCAGTGGTAGAAGTATTCTAATAGTTTTAACACATAGGAAACTTGAGGCAAACCCTAACCAGAGTCACTACGGAAATTGTTTAGAGAAATTTGAAGGCCTGATCTTTCCCATTCATCTTGTCTTTCCACATAAAACAAGGAAAAGGGAGGGGTACCACGAGACAGCACAAAGAAGTCAGGAAGCCAAGAAAATAGTCAGACAGACACTTTATTGTGACTTGCTTATAGCAGTAACATTAACTCCTCAACATGTACAGTTGTTTTTGTGTTACTTTTGCTTTGCTGGAGGCCATAGTGTGATGCTAAAGGCTTTTAGCCTCATCTTATGTCAGTTTGGTCAATGAATACCTATTTGATAGTTCAACTAGTTAGTGGAAAAAGTCAGGAAAATCTGGTCTTAACATCTCAAACTAAGGACTGCAAGATCTGCAGCCCCTATGTATAAAGTGCTTTTGTTCAGTGCAAAAAGGGCAGATTCGGAAGGGTGAGCAGATGCCAGGCAATGATGCTTCCTAGGAATCCGTGCATTCTGTGACTCAAGGAAGAAAAAGTCACTTGTCAAAATTTTACCCTACTGGGATCCAGTATTTTCCTTACAGCCTTTTCCTTCCCCACTAGGACCAAAACTTTGAATCTGACAGATGTCCACAAACAGCTGCTTGTTTTACTATTAAAATTTTGGTTCAGAGGGAAATCCACAGGGTTTCTAAGCACCAAAGATACTGACTAGAGCTTCTAATTCCTATTTGACTCAGCATCAAATGTGGGATCAACAGGCTGCACTCTGGCTGGTGGGAGACTCGGGACTACAGAGCTTTTCTTTAGGCCCCTCATTTGCAAATCTAAGTCATGGAATATGACAGACACTTCCTCAAACATTGTCACATGTCAGGTGGGAAGACAAATATATTAAAGAAGTGCTTCATCCAGTTGGTGGTGTATCCCTGACTGTATGTGACCTATTCATTGTCCCCTTTTTCTCATTCCTGTCCAGACTCTGTCCACAGGCTTAACTCTGAAACGAACCCGATTCCCTCTTAAGATAGGGAAGAAGCACACTGATATATCAATGACCCACGTGTTTGCATACCCACCCTGTGGTCCAGAAGAGACTGAAGGGAAGTAAGAGGGTAGGGAAAGTGGTTTCTTAATCAATTCAAGAGGAACAAACAGGACTAGAACTCAAATAGGTAAAGTTTAGCCATTCAGTCCTAAGATCCCATCTACCATTTCCCTCCCCAGACTCTGAAAGAGGGAGCCATGGTCCCTCACCAATGAACTTTGAGTAGGGATATTCACAAAAGCTGGCTCATGCTTGTGAGCCTTTGTCCTGCATCCATGCTTGGGCAGGCCTGCCTTTCCCTCCCCTCTGGATGAATGTGTTGAGGCCCCTCCTGCCCCTGTCAGCCTCCCAGCCCATACTGCAGCAGAGCTTTCAAATGCCAGCACCTGAACACCCCTGTATCTGGGCCACCTTCCAAAGACTCTTATTAACTCCTTGTGTTTGAAAGAGGAGTCATCCAAAAAGTCATTTTATTCCACAGGTAGCATTTGCCCCAAAGCCACCTCTGAATTTTGGAAAGGGAAAAGCAATCCTTTTGGTGTTGTTCTATAATTCTGGTAAAGCCCTGTTAAGAAGAGCTACTTAAACATCACCACCTAAAGAGGACTGTGTACCAATAGGATGACCTGGCTTCAGAACCAAAATGCGGGGAAGGTTTTCAGATTGGCAGAAGTCGAAAGTAAAGTGCCTCTTTTCAGTGGAGAAGAGTCTCATTTGTTCCAAAAATGCTTAGGCATAAACATGACTGTGCAGGAGCATGCACACAAGTGCACAAATGTGCACACACACACTCACTTGCTCTGAGGTAGAAAGAACTGACTATCTCCAGACACACACACAGATTCCACAATTTTACAGAAACATGGCACTTGTGTGAAAGGTCCTGTTCTTGCCCAAGCAGGCAAGTAGGGGCCAATCCAGCTCTTTCCAATCTGGGACAGAGCCAGAGAAGTCCTTCTCTACAGAAGGAAAGAGGTGTAGGGCATCATTCCTGTCACCATAGTTCTCAGGCTGTACAATCCTGGCCCTGCTGTTCAGGGTCACTTCCTGGAGCCTGAGCCATGGGCACCACGAAGGTGGCTTGTCAGAAGCCACTGGGCACAGATGTCTTGCACTACTGCATCCCCGCTGCTCTTGGCAGCCTGCTGTACCTGCTGGACAAGGGCAGTGGCCCGTGAGTGTTCTTGCTTCACAGCAATCAGGTAGGCAGAACGTAATTTGCAACATGTCAGGTAGGCCTGAACCTGGCAAGAGACAGTGGGAAGGAACCAATCACTGATGGACAACTAACAAACATGCAGCGCTGCATCAAAGGACGAAGGCAAAGAGATGGCACTTTTATCAACTTAATAGCCAGGATATTGCCTTTCACTGGATTGTAACAACTCTTTAAATATTCTGGACATTAAGCTATTACATGGTGTTATTTTATAGCATAAAAGGTATTATAGGTATGCTAAGAATAAAAACAAAGCTAGGCAGGTAGAGTTGACCTCTTACTACCCCTCTCAGGCTGTCCAGCTTCTTCCTGGTATCAGAGCCATCACTGTCAGCACCCACAGGTTGTGATTTTTATAGTTACTTACTGATTATTTGATGGGTGTCTGTCTCTCTTACTAGATTATAAGTTCCTGAGGGTTCATAAGGTCCCTGGGCCTACCATGTAGTCAAGTATTCAATAAATATGCAGTACATGAATGGATATGTGAACAGATGAGCAACCACCATACCTTGTCCCTACAATGGATTCTTAGATTCCCCATCTCTATTTTTCTGTTTTTAACCTGCTGATTTTAAAATCCTTTAACAGGGCATTTGGGGACAAAAATGGATATACACAATGGGAAAAGCTCTAATTAAGGTCTAACCCCAGCTGAGTGTGGGGATGCACATCTGTAATCCTAGCACTTGGGAGGCTAAAGCAGGAGGATCATGAGCTCAAGGCCAACCAGGGCTACACAGTGAGACCCTCTCTCTAACAACAACAAAATAAAAATGATCTCCCCCATCGAACTCCCTCAAGAAAGATCTAACCTTAGTTAGACCTGGTGTGACTACTCTTCTTTGTTTTATTAAATTTTTTTTTTTTTGACACAGAGTTTCACCATGCAGCCAGGCTGGCCTTGAACTTATGATCCTCCTGCTCCAGCCTCCCAAATGCTGGAATTATAGGCAGACACCATAGCACCCAGCCTGACTTGAATATTCTTGTTTGGATCCAAGGCAGCTCAATTTTGGTGTGTGTGTATGCCCCTCACTCTCCATCTCATGAATCTCCAGGTTGGTAGAGGCCAGAGCTCTTTCTCTCCCTGGCCCAAGTCTCACCAACACCTCTCTAGTTAGCCAGGGCTCTGGGCAGGGGAGCAGTAAGGACCCCAGGATCTGCCACAGAGCTCCAACAGGCAGCTTCCTTTCTGCTGCAATAGTAGTGGAGGTAAAAGTGACTCTTCTTGCTCCATCTATAATACTTCACCTTGTTTTGTCTTTGTCATTTGTCCTTCCTCAGTTCAATTATGGATAGTCATCTACCACTGGAAGATATCTGGCATGTCCTGAGCTCACTAAAGTGCTCAGCTCCTGTTGTTTGGGTAAGTAGGTGCTGTCCTTGGGGGTAAGCTCTCACCCACGCTTCCCAGTTCCAGTCAGTCTACATATGTGAAATATCACAAGTGGGCAGGCAAAATTCCTACCAAGAAAAGGACATTTTGCCAGAGAGCCTGGAATAAGAACTGGATCAGGTGGTTTTTGGCAAGACTTGTGGCCTGAGATCACTTAAATGTATCAAAACGATTGCTAAGATGAAAAAAAAAACTTGAAAAAGTAATCACAACTGTCTAGATTGTAGTGCACATTTTCTCAGGGACAACACCACTGTCTTACTGAGTAGGAGGCTTACTGAAGGCTTACTGGGGCTCAGTGGATGTGAGTGTCTTTCCTGGCAATTGGGTTCTTGTTCTGATGCTAGAAAAGCAATTCTCCATATTTCAGAATGTTGGAATTTCATCCTTTTCAAGGATCTCTTTAGGATGTTGTGAAAATAACGAGGAAATGCTTAACATGTTTTCCTTAACATCCTGACTGAAAAATGCCCTACAAATTCTGTTCAGGGATTAGCAATACTGCATAGGGAGCAACTCTGTGGTTGTGTAAGAGGCTGTTTGCCTGACATGAGTTTTCATTGTGAGGGACTGAGTTGCTAGAACGTTCCTCTGTTGATGGCCAGGCCAGGGCAGCCCAGTCTGGTTTGGCCTTCTTAGGGGTCTCCTGGCCTGGGGGGCCTTCCTGCACGTGGTCACAAACGGGGGCAGTAAGGTGAGGCAAAGCTTCACCCATTTCCAAAACAGGGAAGAGGTCAATGGCCAGGTGAGAGGCCCATTCTGATGAATGAGAAAACCAGTGGACATTGTTAGCTAAAGGATTGGGTAGGTTTTTTTCCTTATTGTGCCCTTTTCCCTCCTGAATATAGCAAAAAGAAATACCTGTCCACTATAGGAACCTCATTCAGTCAACATAAAGATGGATTTCCTAAGGCTCTCTGAGACCTCAGTATAACATGGAGACTTAAGAGAAGTCTTGGGGGATAAAGAATTGAGCAGGCAAAGGCTCACCTGTTCCCTGTTAATTCCCTTCCAAACTATCCAACTCCCAGTCCCACTTCTGAATAACAAAGAAGCTGGGATATAAGACTGCATGGAATTGTTGTGGGGGCAAAGGATAAAGGAGACAAGGCAAACCCCAGGTGCTGCATAGCACTGCTAGGGGCTGGAAACAGTTCTTACCTTGTTGTCATCGTTGTGTATCGCCTGGATCAGGCCTTCCAGCTCCTGTGCAGAACAAAGACATAGCAGTTGTGAGCGGGAGAAGAGCCCCCGCCTGTGAGCCAGGGCCCAATCCAATCTCAGTCCAGCCACTGTGACTCCAGAGTGGGGAAGCCTGTTTGACTCTTCTTTTTAAACTCAACTCTTATTAGCACAGCAACAGAGGAAAGCTAATGGCAACACCAAGCTTGGGGATTTGGGGAGAAGGATCATCTCCCTGTCCTTGGCCTTTAGTCTATTCACTCTATGAAGGAGTTACAGAGGCACAATTTCATAGGCAAAATGCTTTAAGACCATCTGCTGGCCCACTGTGATCACTAGAATCACAGACAGCTGCTCAACTCTAAGTCCACAGCCATTTCCAGGTGACAAAATATTAGCCAAGGGAATGCTGACAGATACCTTCTGGGTATGAGTTTTCTTTACAGGGAAAAGGGTTAATTAGAGATAACTGTTGCAGAGGGGTCAGGAAAGATAAAAGTTGCTGAGAGTTTCAGGCACATTATAAGGAACAGAAAAATAAAGAGGGTGATGGAAAGACTGAAACAGATGGAGGACTGGAGACATATGAAAGTGAGTGGACCTGGGGTGGGATTCTCTTGAAGGCTTCTAGGCAGTTGAGGAGGATGGTGTCCCCGTCACTTTTGGCTGCCATGCCTGACTCACTGACACATTTGAGCAGTTGTCGGATCTCACTGTATTTCTCCTTTTCTACCAGTTGCCGGGCAGCTCTGCAGTAGGTTGCAGCAGCATCTAGCTGGAAGTCCTGGAACAGACATGGGATGATGGACTTAAGACAGGAGGGGACACAGCAGGGGACCTTAACAGTGGGAAGGGTAACAACATTTTAAAAGTGCCTACCAGGCTTGCCGTAGATAAGCTATTTTGCTTATAGTCAGAACAGAAAACAAAAATATAACAATCAAACCAAAAGCAAGCAGGAAGTTCCTCTTTGGAGTCAAGCAGACATTTAGGGTGCATCCATAAAAACTGTAACATTAATAACTGAAACAGCACTTTTGGCAGCATTTTCTGAAAATGCTATAATCTAACTCCCAAGATCAGTTCATTCTCTCTCTCTCTCATCACCTTTACCTTGGAAATGGAGTGGGAAGCTAGTGTTTGCCACCCTGGACACTTGGTTCTCTGGTAAGAGCTGCCTTATTCTTTAGACGCAGACTGATCTGCCAAAACATTCATTTGCTAAAAGCTGCCCGATAAATACCTTCAATGGTCTAGGCTAACTCTAGAGGGTGCTGCCTCCAGCCACGTTCCCCTGTGAGGGTGAGTGGACTTCTGCAGGGAGACAGCTTCAGATTGACTGCTAGGCTATCGGCGGAATGGCCTAGAGTCTTGCATTTGACCTGGTTCAATAACAGCAACCTCCCCGATTTTATCTCTAATGTACATACAGATCTGCTTTTCTTGGGATAAAGCTTACTGTAGAATAATCTCACACAGAAATGTAGTCAGGTGCTGATTGCCTTGGACTTAATCTTGAATAATCCTAGTCATACCTGCAGAACGCGGAATGCAATGCCGAAACCGTCTTCTACATTCTTCCCTCCTAGCATGACCTGAAAATGAGAGGGAGAGGGAAACACGCTTAAAGAAATGCTAGTTACTAGAACAGCTCCTTAATCAAGAATGAGGGCCCCCATTTATTCAATTATTGAACTGAATTGAACTGTTGAGACTTTACTAAGTGCCAGACACTAGGGATGGAACAGTGATCAAAATGGACTTGATCCCCAGCTGTTTGTGGCTCACACTGCAGTGGGAGGCAGCCATCAAACAAACAACTGAAACAATAACCAGACAATTACAATTGTCATAAGAGTTCTGAAAGATGAGAGCAGTCTGCACATACCTTACAGGCAACCTCCATTTTCATGTGGTTATTTCCAAACAGGGTTGGCAGAGGCAAAGTGGTAATTTGAGAGGTCCCAGCACTTTCACACCGATGTAAGAACCTGGTCACTTCCATCTGCAGCTGAAGTGTATTCATGTGCCTATAGGGATAGGACATGCAAGGTCTAGCCTCATGAGAGGCTTTGGGGTTAGGTGCCTGGGGCTGGGTGACTGGGAAGTCATAAGAAGATGGTGGTCGAAAGAAGAACTGATGTGAAGGGAAAAGATATCTGAAATACCCTCTGAGCAGTTTTATGACAAGACAAAAACAGGTGACCTAGTGCCCTGCACAGATACACAACAGTTAAGGTACACCATGGAACTGGACAAAGTGCAGTCACTGGATCAGTAAGCATTCGCTGAGCACCTATGTGTCAGGTACAACAATGGAGGTCAAAGGTGGCATGAGCACTGCCGTCATAATTTCTAGGCTAGAAGAGAAAGGAAGAGTAACCAAACACAGGAAACATTCAGTGATTAAACTCATGGAAGCAACAAGTAGTAGAGGTAGTATATTTACTTTAGATATTGTGTTCCGAGCAGAGGGATCAGTAAGCATAAAAGCAGAGAGAAAGAAAGAAAGGTATGTTGAGGAAGCCTGGAGGCCAATGACCAATGCTTAGCAAGGCAAAAGAGAAGAGCAGAAACAGAGACATCGGCCACAGCCAGATCATATGGGACCTTTTTGGCTGCTGTAAGAAGTGCTGATTATACCATGTGACCCCAGCCTCCCTCTATTCTTCTCTTCCTGTGTAAGCTTCTCTATAGCTTCCCAGGCTTGTATCGCACACTGTCGTCCAGGGACAATGCCTTTTAGATGTGTTTTTTAAGGACTCAGGGAATGGGCAAGAGCAGCTTCATCATCAAAGACCAAAGTCCCAGCCTTCCTGCCCCTTGTTAATTATGCCCTGGGCTTTGCGCTACCTGGATACATCAGCCGTAGTCATCTTCTTTCGGAAGAAGGTGGTTTTCTTCCTTCCAGAACTGCGGGATGTTTCTTGGAGGTAGATCTTCAGGTGGTCCTTTGCCTTAAGTAGCCAAGAGAGCTTCTCTCCTAGCTCCGTATATGACTTTGCTTTGTGACTGAAGAACCGAATACAGGTCATGGCAGCCCGGACTTGGTCCTAGAAGAGCAAAGTGAATACTCAGGGCAAAAGAGATGAGGGATGTTGGAAGGAGGAGTGGGATGAGAATTCCGATCTACTTATGAAGCAGATCTTCGTGATCTGGCCCCTGCTGATGTCCCATCTTTATCTCCTGCTCTTCTTCCTTGCAAAGTATCAGTGTTCACTCCCATCACCAGCTGAATTGCTATTTTGTGCCAGTAACTCACAGGCCCAAGATATTCTAATGTGAACTGACTAGCTGAGCTCCTGGGTTGGACATTATTCCACCACCAAAGTGATGTAAAAAAGGGATACTTCTGATTCTCCATTAACAATGGCTTTACAATTAAGTTGGCATGAAATTATTATGATTATTATATTATTATTATTATTATTATTTACAGTGCTGGAGCTTGAACTCAGGGCCTATACCTTGAGCCACTCCACCAGCCCTTTTTCGTGAAGGGTTTTTTCAAGATAGGGTCTTATGAACTATTTGCCCAGGTTGGTTTTGAACCGTGATCCTACTGACCTCTGCCTCCTGAATAGCTAGGATTACAGGCATGAACCATCAGCACCCAGCATGAAATAATTTAATTTCTCCATTGGCAAGCCTCAGACAGAATAGGAGAAATGTGTTCCTTGTCCCTTCATGCACTTTTTTCTAAAGATATTGAGCTTCCACCATTCCCTATGAATCCTGTACCATTTTTATCTTTATAGTCTTTGAATTCTGAAGAATGCTATTACGGACAAGATTAAAGTTTGCCTCTAAAGTTAGGGTGAAAAAATCCTAATATGTAACAATGCTAGAGAGCAAGCTGGATTTGCTCTAGGGTCAAATAGCAAGGCCAGGAATCAAATGATAATCCCGCTCCCTCATCTTGCATGCCTCCCCTGAATGAAAGGGCATTAGTGATGGGGAAAGGGGTATGAGACTGCTATTACCTTCATAAATTGCTGCAGCTCGTACAGGATGTGGTAGTAGTTCTTCTTCTGTAGATGCTGGCAGGCAGCAATCAGGTATGTTCCCCAGCTCTCCAAGGTTGGATCGATGGATTCCAGCAAGTTTTCTAATGTGTGTAACTTCCCACTTTTATAGCTTGGCTGAAAAATGCCTTCTATGAAGACTTCTGGAGGACTGTCCTGGTTTAGGACAAGGCAAGAAGTCAGGAGTTTGGAGTTTGGTTCTGGCAGTCTGGGATCCACTCTGAATCTCCTTCCACTCATGTCCCTGCAGCATCCTCTTAAGGCAATGCCTTGGAAGCTTTGCCATGTCAGAGATACTGCTGAGGATCCCACTCTAGCAACTGTTTCACTTCTCTCCTTCTATTTATAGAAAAGCACCTTGATAGAGTTATCTACACTCACTATCTCCACATTCTTTTTTTTTTTTTTGTTATTCATATATGCATACAAGGCTTGGGTCATTTCTCCCCCCTCCACATTCTTTTCTGGGATTTTTCTCTGGAATTCACTGTAACCTAGCTTTTGCACTGAAACCACACTTTGTGTCACCAGGCACCTCTAAGTTGTTAATTCCAACAGTTAACTTTTGGTTTCCTTTTCCACCTAATCTAGCGCACCTTTTTATCCCCCTGCAGTGCTGGGGATGGAACCCAGGATCTCTTGCATTGTAAGGTGAGCACTGCCACTGAGCTCCACCTCCAACCCCATCAGTAGCTTTTAATACAGTGGCTTCCTTACACCTGAAAATTTTCTTTTTCTAATGTTTTTATTTTTAATTGAGAAGTTTTCTTTATTTGGTCACCAGGCTCTCTAGTTTTTCTTCTATATCTCTGGCTGCTCCTTTTCAATTTTGTTTGCTGATTCCTCCCAATTTCCCAGAGTTTAGAGGGAACCTGTTCTTTTTTCTATATATACTCTCATATATAATTTATATTTGTTTAGTGTATATCATGTACTATTTATATGTACTGTTTCTATATATACTCTATGCTATACATACCCTATATGATTTTATCCCATCTCATGGCATGTAGTACTGTCCATGTGCTGATCATGCTTAAATTTCTATCTCTAGCTTCTTCATCCTAAATTCCAGACCTGAATATCCAACTGGATATCCAATTGTCTCCTCAAATGTCCTCCTGGGTATCTAACACACCAAAAACTGATTCTTGATTGTTCTCTGAAATCTGCTTCTTCCAGTCTTCCATTTCTCAGATGTAGTACTATTCTTCTAGTTGCTCAGATCAAAAACCTTAAAATCATCTTTTCCCTGAAACTCCAACATCAGATTCATCAGCAAGTTTTATCAGCTCCACCATCAAAATACACACAGAAGTGGACATTTCTTTATACCTCCACTGTGCCACACTGACCTAAGCCATCATCACCATTTGCTTGGATTATTGTAACAGCCTCCTCTATGGTCTACCATCTTCTACTTCTGCCTTTTTTGTGTAATGATAACAAATGAACCAGAGTGATTCTGTTCAAATGTATGTCAGATGACATTACTCTTCTGTTTGTCACCTTCCAGTGATTTTCCTTCTCATTCATCACAAAGCCCAGGTCCTACATTTAGCACTGTGAAAGTCTACAAGGGCCAACATGATTTAGCTATCATTTATTACTCTTTCTGCTGTCATTTGTTACTCCCCTGTCCCCAGTTCTCCCAGATTCAGCCACCCTGACCTTTGTATTTGTTACTTCCTCTACTTGTTCTGTACTTCCTCCAAATGTCTGTATGACTCACTCCTCACATCCTTCAGCTCTTTATTCAGATGACATCTCCCGTGGGGACCCTTTCTAAAATTGCATGACTTGCCCCTTCTTCTCCTGTTGTTTTTTTTTTTTTAGTTCAAGCTGGCCTCAAACTTGAGATTCTCCTGCCTTAGTCTCCTGAGTGCTGGTATTACAGGTGTGCACCTTTATTTTTATTTTATTGCCATGATCTACATTACCTATTTTATTTACCGTGTCTATTGTCTCTCTACCTATTACCGAGTACGGTTTTTTCTTTTTTTAGTGGCACTGGGGCTTGAACTCAGGGCTTTGCACTTGGTAGGCAGGTGCTCTATCACTTGAGCCATGTTCCTACCCCTCCAAGTAGGTTTATGAGACAGATAGGTAATTTTGCCTATTTTTTCACTGTTCTGTTCCTAGTGCCTAGAACAGTCCTTAGCTATTCAATAAATATTTGTTGAATTTATGAACTGATAAACATTACACACTGACTCCCCTGGAAAAGTAACATATACATTAATCTCCTCACTTCTGAAGCTATCTGTGGTTCAGAGATCTTGAGTCATAAAGTCCCCCTTTCCATAGTCATAGAAAAGAGAAATCATTTTGACATGGAGACTTTAGGTTAGGAGTGATTAATGGAGAGAGTAAAGGATGGCTATAAATGTGTGGCAGGGTAACATGCTGGGATGAGATGCTTAGAACATAGACAGGATCTGGGCTTTGACATCATAGTGGATGAGAGTTAAGGTTTCTTTCCTGATTCTGGCTGTTCCTAACCAAGAAACCCAGACCTTAATTAAATTAAATGTTTAAGCAGGGGCACCAGCTTTGCAGGAAAGGTGGAAATCCTCAGAAGAGCACCTAAAAATATCCATTTTATTCATTTATCCATCCATTCATTCATCCATAACTGATACTGGGCCAGCTGCCTGAATATATAGATAAAGTGTAGGCCTTCTTGGTTCAGATGGGAAGACTCATTTGAAACAAGTCAAAGTGGGGTAAATGCAGTAATAGGTACAAAGGTGGTGCAGTAGGAGAGGTGACTAACTAGTGCTGCTTATGCTATTCTGTGAGTGCTTAACAAGAGATTCTGCAAGGATAAACAGAAGCGTTCCAAGAAAACAAGGAGACAAGGCATTCTGGATCAAGGAAACAGAGCATGAAGACTCTTGAAGATAAGATGCTACATGGTACAATCGGGAAAACTTAAGTAATTTGATGAGTATGCGATGAAGGGTACAGATAGAATTTGTAGTGAAAGTAAATTGGAGAAATATGGGTGCTGGATCCTGGGGGGGGGTCCTACAGCATGCTAAGGAAGTTGGACTTCATCCTGGGGACTCACTAGAGGCCTTTTAGGGAGAGGAATAACATTAGTGTGCTTAGGTTTTGGGAAGCTTATTCTGCAGGCAGTGTGGGCAAAGAGACAAATCAGAAAGAGAAAAGGCTAGAAACAGAACACCTTTCAAACGTAGGCACTCAGATGTCTTTTTCACTGTGTATTTTTCTGTAACCCTACTTACTTGAGAATAAAGGAAAGATATTTTAGTTCAAGAGTAACTGATTATAGGAGATAAAAAGAAGGCTTCCCTCTTAGTACTGACAACCATAAAGCAGGGACAATGCTGTCGTCAGCTTCTACCAAGATAATGAGGTAAGCAGCTTAATTTTCTGGACTGCAATTGTCCAAGGAAACAGGGCTGCACGATTTCAACTCTCAATTTGTGCTTGCAAGAAGCATCTTTCCTTCTAAACTCATTTGGAGATGGAAGAAAATAGAAAAGATTAGCAATTAAATTCCAAATAATATGACTTCTATGTGGTTCTTGAGATCTGGTTAATAGCTAAGACACAGTAGTAGTCAAGTTGTGGTGAAACCATTTTCCTTTCACTGTCCTGAGGGGTCTGATTACCACAATGCTGTGAACTGTTGATTTCCCTTAAGAGTCATTCTAGAAGATATTTCTATGTGCAAACTTTCATTGGCTGCTGTGTTGATTTAGGGTAGCAAATGATATTAACACTGACAGAACAATAATGTCGCCATATGTAAATCGGTGGCCATTTTATCCTCAGATCTCACTTGAGAAACTCCCAAGGACAGCCCCACCCCTACCAGAGACTACTACGCATGCGCTAACTTCCTAACCTCCCCCTTCTATAAAAGCCACACCTTGCCCAGGGTCTGGGCTGCGCCATCTTTCCCCGGCCAGCCTGGGAGTTCGAGCCTGCTATTAAACTTTGCTCTTGGACTTGAGACTTTTCTTGTGAGCTTTCTTTGTGAGCAGTGTTTTTCCTAACAAACACTTACTTTGAACTTTAGTTTTCTATGAAATTTGGTAAATAACGGTTAATTTCTCAGAAGGTAATTATGGAATGTTCAGATAAAAAAGGAATTCCAGGCGCCATGGTGAAATGGAGTCTTGATTGCTTATCGGTGGTGCCCTGGCCTCCACTGGGAGGCGGGCAGGGGAAATGAGAACAAAACAAGGAGAACATGCTCCCTTTCATCATGTGCACAGGACCTAAGCCATAGCCCTTGCGGTAACAACTCTGAGTGGACACCTTCCCAGGTGAGGTGGGAGGCAGATAAGGCCACACAGACTCATATTAAACATCTCATCTTGTATGTTCTGGGAGAAAGGGATGAAATTTGCCATTGCTAGTCAGGAGGGTGATTTGGGATCTGAGTTAAGACTTGTCGCACACTCATGGACAATGATTGTGCAGAAAGTCTTCCACTTTGACCTGATTCTGGCAGAAATGATCTCATAGCTTGGGACCAAGTGAGGGAGGAGAGGTGGCCCTTGCCCTTTGCAGGCTATGCCATATGTCTCACCTTATTGAGGAGGTGCAGCAGGGCTTCACGCAGGCAGCTGTGCCTCATGTAGAAGCTGATGATGGCCAGGTTAGTGCTATAGTTATGCAGGTAAAAGAGGCATTCTTGGTAGTAGGTGTTGTTCATGGTCTTCCCTTCAGGAATCACTTCTAGGGAAAGGCTCTGGGTTCGAAGGGTTGCTTCCAGTTCTCTCAAGGTGGCAAAGTAATCATCATCTTGCTGACAGGAATGGAGATAGTGCAAGAGAAAAAATGAAATCCAGTAAGTTTCAGCCATTGGAAATAGTGCTTTCAAAGGATATTTAACAAAGTGGAAAAAAATGCTCAAACTCCAATTTTAAGAGTAGAAAAACAGGGAGAATACAAAATTTTGTGTTTTATATTATGGTACAACTCGGATTTCATTAAAAAACATAACCCAGAACACTTACCCAATTGTTTCTTTGAGAGAGTCTCACAGTGTTGCCCACGCTGGTCTTGAACTAATGTGTTCAAGAGATTCTCCTGTCATAGCCTCCAAGTAGCTGTCCTTATAGCTATGTATCCCTATGCCCGGCTCTTATCAAAATCTTAACACTTAGCAGAGCATGGTGATACATGCATAAAACCCTAGCACTTGGGAAACTGAGATAGGAGGATCTTGTGTTCAAGACCAACCTAGGCTACATAGTGAGACCATGTCTCCAAAAAAATGTATGAATACTAATTAGTTTGGGTATGGGATTATATGTGATTTTCATTTTTTAAAAAGTTTTCTGTAGTTTCCTTTAAAAAATTGGACTTTATATCACTTATCTAACCATTTACAGCTACTTATTTAACTATATGCTATGGAGAAAAATCAAAGTATCAAACTGGCGGCCTCAGGACTGGCATTGTGAGCTGAATTTAAGCTGATCTTTTTCCCTAGTCCTTACTGTTCCTAGCCTCCTCCCAGAGCCAGGCACTCTGCTGCTTTGTTCTTACCAAGGAAACAAGGGGCCTTGCTGTGGACTCCAAGTACTCAACCACATCCTGGACCAGCCTGGAGCCATGACTCAGCTGATTGAGGTCAAAAGGGGGCTTCAGACAGCGACTGAACTTCTCCCGTGCAGCAGTGAGGTTCCCAGCTTTGAGGCAGGCCATGCCCCAAGCGTGCCATGCCCCAGTGGAATCAAGCCCAGTCTTTGTGGAAACCTGGAGGAAAAATTGCTCCTTTTGGTGACAAATGCCTACATCCACGCCTGAGAGTTTCCTCAAGACCTATTCCATCTCCTTGCAGCCAACTACTTCCTTCCTCCCCACTCACTGTTATTCCCACACTGACTAACTGATCTTGCCCTGGATACCTTCCCATGGTCAGGACAACCAAGAGGTGACAGCACCTGTTTATAACATTAAGCAAAGGCCATTCATTACTGTGGGGGTAGAAGTAAACTTTGTCTTGCCTCACCTCAACACCCAGTTGGTAGTATTCAGCTTCCAGCAGCTGGTTCCTTAGCCTGGTTACTGCAGTTGGCTGTAAGATCTGATCCAGAGATGGCACGTGGCGATAGGCAGCAGCAACTAAAATATTCAGTACGTCTACCTTGCTGATGTAACTACAGGAAGGAAAAGGGCACAGCAAGGAGACTGTACAGTCTTGCTAAGAATGGTTGTTGCTTGAAGGTTTTCTATTTCATTTTCAAAGTGAAATGTGATCAAGAGAACTGAGAGGTTTACAGCATAGACACTCTGAGTGAAGACTCTGGAGTCAGACTCTGAGCCCCAGCTCCTGTTGCTTAGTAGCTCTGCAACCTGTGGCAACTACTTAACTTTTCTCTGCCTCAATTTATACATCTATAAAAGGATGTAACAGCAGGCAGTTTCTAAAGATAAAATTAAATAAGGATAAAGTTTTATTTAATATACATGTATTTATTTATCAAACTGAACAATGATGTAGAATCTATTGTCTTTTAATATAAAAGACTGAAATAAGGAAGCTACTTCCTTCCACTTTTGTCTCATCTTGTAAGAGGCATTCAAACTGCTTTTGATTAAAAGCACTGACTCCTTCTTGGGCCCACGAATTAACCAATAGCAGGAAAGAAAAGCATGGCATCTGTCCTGCATTTTGTATTTGTCTTTGCTCTAAGCCATTCTCTTTGCAGTCACTTTACAATCACCTTGGATTCCTGGAACGACAGGAATGATCGATAATATCTTTATGACAAGGAACCAAAACTACCCCCAACAGTAGACTCTCCTTTGGATGGACCACCTGCCTGGCTCCAGAAATAACTCCAAAACCTCTCCCAAAATAAGGATGAGAAAATGGTCAACCAGAACACACCTGTGACTGGGACTGTTTAACTATGCACACCTTTGTTCCCTGCCTCCAGTTCTTTGTCTACTTGAACCTACAGTTCATGTCTGCACTGTG